TCCATCTTGTCCGGAAGTCTCAAACTTTTAAGGACTATCTTTAAAGAGAGTCATAGGGAAAAGGTGATCAAACTCTAAGCAAAATATTGGAAACATCACCTTCAGGAAGAGAACAAACTTTTCCACTTTGTAGCATTTTAAAACACTTTCCTTATGTGCTCTCATCTGATTTTAATAGCAGTGACCTTGGAGAGCAGGCTGGGCAGAACAGGGGAGTTCCGGTTGCCAGATGGGGAACTGGGGCCCAAGTGCTCTGCTCAGGGTCACGGAGTGATGTAAGGACAAAGTCAGGCCTGGGTCCCTGTCTTTCTGTACTCATCTCTGGCTCGTCCCTCCAGAAAATGCCTTCCTTTTAGAGATAATAAACCTGATTATGATTATATTTGTTTAGCACTGGAGACTTTCCAGTCTTTTTCTCATCTATTAGTAATATAACAACAACCAGCATATTTTGAGCTACGCACTGCTCCCTGTCAGCACTGTGATGGGTAGGTACTCTCATAACCTTCATTCTTCTACAAAAAACCGAGGCTTAATAATAGCTGTTACTAAAGTTTTTACTGCATTCAGGGCACCTGTTCCAAGCACTTTACATGTATTAACTACGTTATCCTTCACAACAGTTTTTAGGTAAGTACCACAATTATCCTGACTTTTATAGAACAGAAAACTGAGCCCTGGCTGGAATAGCTCAGTGGATTGAGTGTGGGCCTGCGAACCGAAGGGCTGCCAGTTCGATTCCCAGTCTAGGGCACATGCCTGGGTTGTAGGCCAGGTCCCCAGTAGGGGGCACGTGAGAGGCAACCACACATTGATGTTTTTCTCCCTCTCTTTCTCCTTCCCTTCCCCTCTCACTAAAAATAAATAAATCTTAAAAAAAGAAAGAAAGAAAACTGAGGCGGAGAAGTTAAATTACTTGTTCAACGTCAACATAGTTGTAAGTTGCAACTTAGTACAAGAGGCTCAGTCTTGGAACCTCCACAGTCATGCCCGAGACTTCCTGCTCTTTATCACTGAATTATAATGCCTCCCACTTTAACCTAATATAACCACACAGTGAAGGGGTGCCCAACAAGGATTGTTACCCTTCTCTGCCTCGTTCTTGGTTTCAATAGGCTATCTTCCAGACTGCCTATGGAATGAGGAAGGGTGCTTTTATTCTTTGTCCTTGGAAGTCAGCACATGCAAAGGCCTGCCCTTGGCTGAGCCCTTTACCTGTTCCCATGGCTGTTACCTACACAGAATCAGGCTGGTCCTGCTTTCTGTTAGCGTTTTCCACATGGAGCCTGTCAGTGCTCAGATCTCCAACTCGTACAGAAAGACAGACCCTCTGGTTGCAGCAATGGGCATAGTACCTATGTGAGGAGGTTCCTCACTCACTGGTTTGAGGATGGACGCAGAGACTTAACAGTAGGTGAGAAAGCTGGAAGTAATTTACAAAAGAAACACAAACGGCTGATAAACCTCGATAAAAATGTAAACATACTCTTATGTCAGTCAAGGTTCTCCAGAGAAACAACCAATAGGATATATTTATCCACATATAAAGCCAGGCAACAAACTGGAACTCAGGCAGGATTTCTGTGTCTACAATATTATGGCAGAATATCTTTGGGAAACCGGTTTAAGGCCTTAAGGCCTTCAATTGATTGAATAGGCCCGACCTCATTATTGAGGATAATTTTTATTTAAAGTCACTGATTGCAGGTGTTAATCATATCTACAGAATACCTTTACAGCAACAGCTGGACTGGTGGTTGACCAGACAACTGGACACCATAGCCTCCCCAAATTCACACACAAGTCAACCATCACACTATTGATAATCAAATAGAAATTAGAATATACTGTAGCCCTGGCTGGTGTGGCTCAGTGGATTGAGCGCTGGACTTCAAAGCAAAGGGTCGCCAGTTTGATTCCCAGTCAGGGCACATGCCTGGGTTGCTGGCCAGGTCCCCAGTGGGGGGCAGTCAAGAGGCAACCATATGTGGATGTTTCTCTCCCTCTCTTTCTCCATTCCTTCCCCTCTCTAAAATAAATAAAACATTTTTTTAAAAAGAATATACTGTCCTGGCTGGTGTGGCTCAATGGATTGAGTGCCGGCCTGTGAACCAAAGAGTTGCTGGTTCAATTCCCAGTCAGGGCACATGCCTGGGTTGTGGGCCAGGTTCCCTGTGGGGGCATACAAGAGGCGACCACACGTCGATGTTTCTCTCCCTCCCTTCCCCTCTCTCTAAAAATAAGTAAATAAAATCTTTAAATAAATATATATATACTGTTAAAAGTTCTTATTATGTTGATATACTTTGAATCAGCAATTTTACTTGAAAGGTTTTTTTTTTTCTAATGATAATCATTAGTACAGATATCCAGTAGAGGATTTGTCAAATAGTGGCAGTTTTTTAAAATTGAGGCATAATTGACAAACATTATATCTGTATAATGTATTAGTGTTTTATTTGCATAATGTATTGGTTTCATATGTACATGATTCAATATTTGCATATATTACAAAATTATCACCACAAATCTAGTTAATATAGTCACCATATACATACAGTACAGGCTGTGGCACAGGTTTATAGTTGTTTGTATGGAAAAAAATGCAATAATAAGAATAAACTGCTTTGTATATTCAAAACTATAAGCCTAATTTCACCCCTACCCTGTATAATTACAGTTAACCCAGCGCCTTTTGTTGAAAAGACTGTTATTTACCCATTGAATTGTCTTGGTAACTCTGTGGAAGAGCAGTTTACTGTCACTCCATAGGTCTGTTTCCTAGTCACTGACCTGTGCGTCTGTCTGCAGACCACAGCCAGTCTCTCTTATTGCAGCCTCACCGTACGTTTTGAAATGGGGATGTGTTAGTCCTTGAATTTTCTTCTTTTTAAAGATTGTTTTGATTGTTCTGGATCCCTTGCATTTCCATATAAATTTTATGATCAGGTTATTGTCTGCAAAGGTAAAGAATAAAAAAAAAGGCAAATGCAGTTTTGATAGGAATTGTACTGAATCTGTAGATTTGGGGAATTTTGACATCTTAAAATTGTCTTCCAGTCTAAGTGCATGGGATGTCTTTGTTTATTTAGGTTTTTAATTTTCCCGTTAGTTTTAAAATGTGTTTTAATGAATGGGTGTATGTGCCTTTTATGCCAAACTAAGACTGAAAGTGTAAAATGTTATAGTGATCATTTTGAACTTTTGTGCAAGATAACACTTATGTGGAAAAGTACATAAAACAAATGTATAGATTAACATGAAATTATAAAGCAATTGCCCATGAAACCTGCATTCAGGTCAAGTAGAATATTGCCAGCCTCCAGAAGCCATCCTTCCCCTAATCGCAGCTTCTTGTGGCAACCGTTTTCTTCCTTCTCTTTGTAGCTTTTATCACTTGGATGTGTATGCCTAGACAATGTGGTTTATTTTTGCCTGTTTGGCCTTTATATAATGCAGTCATTCTGACTATAGTGTCTTCTTTCATTCAACATTCATCAATTTGAGATTCAAATTGTGTGCAGCTGAAGTTCACTTTCAGTGCTATGTGTTAGTCTTTCTTTAAAAATTTCATTTATTTCTGGGGAGAGAGAGAAACATAGATTGGTTGCCTCACATTCCCCTAATTAGGGACCTGGCCCACAACCTATGCATGTACCCTGACCAGGTTAGGAATCAACCTCTGACCTTTCAGTTTGCAGGACAGTGCCCAACCCACTGAGCTACACGAAGCAGGGCAATGATATATAATACTCTTTTAATATTAGTGGTTTGGGTTTAGTCATTTGGATCAGGTTTTCCAAGCCCAAAATTAATATAAATACACCAGAAAATCCAGGGCACATGATGGCTAGGTATAGGTGTAACTTTCAGTAAGTGTAAATTAATAGTGGCCATTGAGTACTAACTTAACTACACATTTTATTATCCTATTTCCACCCTCACAGGAACCCTGCAAGGCAGTTGTATCTGCCCGGAGTTAGGGAACTTGCCCTAGAAAACAGGAAGCCCTGGATAGGGGCTGAACCCAAATCTCTTAAGATCTTGTGGCTGCCGAGTGGTTTTCCCCTTGGTGCTCCCTGAATGCGTCCTTGTTTGTTTCAGACCCCATGCCACAGCTGGATGTGACTGAGGCCAACAAGGAGTTCATGGAGCAGAGCGAGGAGCTGTATGACGCACTGATGGATTGTCACTGGCAGCCCCTGGACACAGTGTCTTCAGAGATCCCTGCCATGATGTAGCCGGGACGAAGAATAGCCACAATGGACTATATGAGGGAAGAGACTCCTTTTTTAAAAAAGCTCAAGAACTTTTAACTCTTTTGGACATGTTTTAGATTTTAATAAGCCCTGGCTGGTGTGACTTAATGGATTGAACTCTGGCCTGCAAACCTAAAAGCCTGTCCTTGGGGGAGTATGTGAGGCGACCAATTGCACATCGTTTCCCTCTCTCCCTTGCCCTCTCTGTAAAACCTTTTGTACAAAAATTTTAATAAAGTTTCCTGAGATTATGATGAGTACTGCAACACTGCAGCCTTCTCGATGTAGTGAGCCATTTCAGCCTGGAAACAACAGATCAGGAAGGCCCACGTGTTGTCATCTCATCTCCGACACCCAGGACCCTCTTCCTCCAGAGTCTGAGTCTGTTGCTAGAAATCTGCAACAAATTTCCCTTTCGTGCTCCAGTTGTTTGGGGGGCAGGGGGTGGCAAGGGAAATACAACTTGAGTTAAAGTGGCCATACCACAAAAGCCTTCAAAGATCTAATCTTAGGCTCAGCAAAGGAGAACCATGTCTAACTGCAATTACGGAACTAATCCTATTCAGAGAGGTCAGACTTTTTTTATCAAGAAATTGAGGCTATGATTTAGTTTGGGTCTACATACTATTTAGATAGCGTACCAGCACTCACAAAACAACCACGGTCACTGTTTTCACCTACAGTTAACCTGTTGGGAGAGTTTGCTGGGACTGAGCCCAAAGAAAAAGGCTGACAACTTCATTACATTAAGAGTTTATTATGACAGTCCTCCACGCTGCAGGGCAGGGTGGACAGGGGACCAGCCCCAGATAAGGGGTGGGCAAAGGCGTTTCAAGAACCAGCAGCAGGCAGTGGAGCATAGGGGGTGGGTGGTGGAGGGGTGGTCTGAGGGGATTTACTGTTACTTGGTCTCTGTTCTTGGCCCCCACAAACTGGTCTTTTAGCTTCTTCCTACACAGCTTCTCTCCTGAAAAGGAAGTATAAGCCAGTGTGTTAATGCTGCCCCAATTCATCAGTGCCGCCCAGACACTTATCCTAAGAGCTGGTCTCAGTCCCATATCCGCATTTATCATCCACAGATGTCCACTTAGATTAGGTTTCATCCCAGACCAGTCACCCTAGAATAAAACAAATGCCCCAAACTAGACAGTATTACTTGTTTCTACCAAATCCACCTTCCGTTGTTCGAAGTTACCCCAAAGGAGCATGAGCTCAAGCTCCTGTATAGCGTGTTCACAGCAGCCCGTGCTGCCCAAAGTGCAGGGCTGTCCCCTCTGCTACATTCCACTCACAGCAGAGTGTGCTCTTGGACTTCAGTATGGGCAAACCTAACACACCAAATCGTACTGTAAACATTAATTTTTTGCTCTCTGGCAGCTAAGAAATATAGCACACAAGGTAGACAACTGCCCCACTTACCCAACCCCGTAGATCATCAATCACAGATGAAGACAGCTCACTGATGACATCTAAAAAAAGGACACACTCAGTCAAGAGGCAATAAAGCCAATGAACAAATCCCTTCCTTCCAAATACAGAACTATCAGTCAGCCATCACTATACCAACGCCCAGAGAGTCACACCATTGCTCTTCCCTCTCTCTGATTTGACAGAGGAAGAAACAAGTTCAAAGAGAATTCAACCTTGTTTGAAACCAGCCCACAAGCTACAGAGCTGTGACGCCAGCTTCAGTGTTACTTTCCCTCCTTTTACGACCACCAAGACCGGAGTTCAGATCCGATGGGAAAGGGAACCGGAGGGTCAGGCTGTCTTCAACATCTAACATCTAACTTTACCTTATTTTAAAGCACAGGGACAGCAACAAGCTGACGTCTTAGCTTTTTCAGTACCAGACACAGCCAGGAAATGTGGTGACAGCCTGCAAAAAAAAGTGTGAAAGCACTAAAACCAAAGTTGATGCAATATATCCATCTGCGTGGAAACTGATGGAAATGCCTGGACTCAGGCGGCAGGCTCTCAAGCCCAGGTCCTGAGATATTATAGGAAAGGCGAGTGGCAGCTGCAGGTATTATGCTGACCTGAGCTGTCAAAGTCTCTCCAGGTTGCTCTCGCATGCAGTTGGAGATCCCATGGCTACGATCAGCCACAGCCCTTGGAAACATGCTTTACTGAACCACCAGGTAGCTCCCAAATTGAGTTCCCACAAGAAACCAACCTACCATGTCCTGAAGTGCTTATGTTCCAATCACTCCCATGGCTTGGGTCCTCACTCACCAGAAAGCAATCTGAGCCATCCAGCCATCTTCACCTGGAACAGCTAAGATGAGAACACAGTTGTCCTGAATGCTCTATTTGGTCTTCAGAATCATAAAGGTTTAACTGGCCTTTGATCCTGATACTGAGGCCTTAAGCTTTCAAGGGCAATGATCCAAAGCACCACCAAGATCTGTGCCACTTACCACTGGATTTCCCCATGAAGGTGTCTAACCCACTCCCATCTGCTCCTCCATACTATCTTGGCTTCAACACGCTACGCTTCAACACGCTACTCTTCAAAAGCTATGAAAGACCCCATATCACAGTGATTTTCAACCCTTTTCATCTCACGGTACACACAAGTATTAAAATGCTGCAGCACACCAAAAAAAAAAATGTATTTTTTGCCGATATGACAAAAAAATAGGTATGATTTTGATTCATTCACTCTGGATGGCTATTGTTGCGCTGGCTGTTGCCATTATATTTGCAATTTAAGGGAAAAGAGGTCAGTGCCCCTACAGGTATTACAAGGTTTTTTTTTTTCTAACGTTTTAAAAAGATTTTATTTACTTGTACCCAGGGGAAGGCAGGGAGAAAAGGAGGGACAGAAACACCAGTGCGAGAGATGCATCCATAGGTTGCCTCTCACACACCAACCGGAACACGGCAGCAACCCAGGCACGTGCCCTAACAGGGATTTGAGCCCTGGTTCACAGGCCAACACTCAATCCACTGACCACATCAGCCCTGGCAGGAATTGCACGTTTTAAAAATCCTTGTGGCACACTGGTTGAAAATCACCACCCTATCAACATTTTTTGCTAGTCTATGGAAACATATCAATGTTAAACAAGATCTGTTTATACCTGAGAAACAGCAGGTACAATCGAAACTGTCTTTTCCCGAAATGTTGCAGATCAGTTACAGCAAACAGAACGGCGACCGTCAAGGAAAACTGTCACTCTGGGCTCCTTTTTGACTGCAGCAGCTACGTGGAAGCAGCAGCAGCTTCGATAAGGGCCACAGGGCACTGTGTCACAGGATAGCCCAAGCTCTGCTCTGCCCTAAAACTCACCTAAATCCTGCAGATCATTAACGCCTACTGAAACTCATCATTCTGAAGACCAAAAGAAAACAGATCCTATAGTCTCCAATTACCACTTAATACCTGAATGACCCTAAAACCCATCCTCCAGAAAAACTTGCCCTCATATTCACCAGGGCGACCTTCGTAACGTGTGTTGTGCAGCCAGATAATAAAAGGGAAGTCACTTGCCCAGAGTAACCCAGTAGGTAGCTGTGGGATATAAAGGCAGATTCCGATTCAAGGTCTGGCTCACACCAACACGCGACCTCCCGCAAATTAAGCCACTTAAAGCCCAGAGTTGCTGTGCACACAACCGCCCGCCCACGCTACTTACCCGTCATACTCGAGCGCCAGGCGCGCGGGCCGAGGGTAGGGGGGAAGGGCGCGGTCCTCAAGGGCCCCGGCCCTCCTTTCTGCGCAGGCGGCCCACGTGCCCCTCTGGACCTCGGCCCCAGCGGCCGGAGAGGCCTGGCTCCTCATTGCCATACTCCATCCTGCAGCCTCGGGAGGCCGATGGAGGTAAGGATAAGGGCAGGGAAGGAGGGGGCTGCTGGTAGAAGATGGGCATGTAGAGCAGCAAACCCAGTTTATCACACACAACCAGGAACGCAGCGGTCGGGAGAAAGGACTGGCTCGTGCAGCGCGGCAGTATATATAGACTCCGCCTCCGGCGGCCGCGCGCGCGCGGATTGGAGCCGCGCACCGCACGGACCGCTGGGAGTGGTAGTCCCTTTGGTCCCTTTGCCTTCCGGCTCCGGCGGTGCGTCCGGCTCCCAGACCCAGGTGCGTGCAGGGCGGGCATCTTTTCAAAGCGGGCGGAGGAACGAAGCAGAGGGTGTGCTCAGTGACTGTGGAACCTCGTTCACGTCTGCCCAGTACTCCCTGAACGGCCTGCGGAGGGCGCTGGGCCTACGCATGAGTCAAACTCCCCGCGCCCTCGAGTTTAGTCTGGGCAGGTCCTCAGAGCTGGGAAAAGAAAGGGCTCCGGTTGGACCACCGTCGGCCTGCCTGGTGGGGGCAGCGTCTGAGTGCGTTTCGCGGGCTGTCTAAGGTCTTGTAGAGGAGTCTTGGGAGGGCGTGTTAGGAAGAGGGGACTGATTGCTCTTGGGATGAATGTATAATTTGTTCAAGGTTGTCTTTTCCGCTAATAGGTAAGTATCTTTTCTGAGTGCTAAGTACCGGTAAACTGTACTCGATTACCTCAGTGACTTTGCATAATAACTCTATGTACAGGCATTATAATTATGACCTTTTCTACTCAGATAGGAAACAGGCATGTATCACACAGCTAGCAAGTGAGGGGCTGGTATCCCAATCCGGGAGTCCACCCCAGTGACCACACTCACAGTCATTGTGCCATTTGCGTATTTCGTCCATCTAATGAATAAGCGTCAATATACAAATAGTAGCTGTCAAGAATTAAGTGCCCCAGCCCTGGCCAGGTAGCTCCGTTGGCTAGAGCATCCTCTAGATACACCAAGGTTGCTGGTTCCGTCTTGGGTCAGGGCACGTACAAGAAGCAATCAATGAATTCATAAATAAGTGGAACAAAAAGTTGATGTTTCTCTTTCCCTCTCTCTCTGTAAATAATTTTTTTAAAGAATTAAAAAAAAGAAGCTCCTATTCTGTGCTCAATCTACTTATCTTTATGTGTACATGCACTTTAAAAGGTTGGTACTACTATTTTTCCCATTTTATGGAAAAGGCGACAGATTAAGAGTGTAAGAAGCTTTCTAATGACTTCCAAATGGGTGTCTTCACCCCCACTTTTCTCCTGAGCTCCAGACCTTATATCCTGCAGCTTCCTTGACCTCTACACTGGGATGTTCAGTAAACAGGCTTCCCAGGACACAGCCTTCCCTCCTCCACACTTCCTCTTCCCTTTCTCAGTAAGTCCTTGGAACGACCCTGGTCTCCTCTTTCTCTTAACATCTCAGGTTCAATACATCAGCAGATCCTGTGTTCTCCATCTTTTTTTTCCTTTATTGAATTTATGGGGTGATATTCGTTAATAAAATTATGTAGGTTTCAGGGGTACACTTTCATAGTACATCACCTGTGTAGTGTATTGTGTGTTTAGTGCCCCAAGTCAAGTCTCCTTCCATCACCATTTATGCCCCTTTTACTCTCTTCTACCTCCCCCCCAGCCCCCTTTCCCTCTGGTAATCACCATACTGTTATACATGAGGTTATTTTGTTTGTTTGTTTTGCTTAAGCCCTTCACCTTTTTCACCCTTGTGTTCTTCATCTTTGAGATACTTCAAGAATCACGGTTTTTACTACCCGCACTGACGTTATCATTCCTGCTGACCCACAAGATAGCAGTAGTTTCCTCACTGCTCTCCCCAAATCTGCCATTGGTCCCTGCACCGTGGTCTTAACACACCAGCCAGAGTGTCGAAAAGAGCAAAAGTTCTTCATTTTGATTAAGTCCATATATTGATTTTTCTCGTTTGTAGTTTGTGCTCCTAGTGCCCTTTTAAAAAATATTTTAAAATAAATAAATAATAAAATAAAATGTTTGCCTAACTCAAAGACATTAAAGTTTTTTTATGTTTTCTTCTAGGAGTTTAATAGTTTTAGCTCGTACATTTAAATCTCTGATTCATTCTGAGTTAATATTTTTGCATGGTGTAAGAGGCAAGGTATTGTATTGCATATGGCATCCAATTGTTTCATCTTTATTTGTTGAAAAGATTCTTTTTCCACCTAATTGCTTTGGCACTTCATTAAAAATCTGTTGACCATACGTACTAGTCTGTTTCTGGGCTCAGTACTACACTGCCTTGATTGCTATAGCTCTTTAATGAGTGGTGAAATAGAGTAGGATAAGTCATCCAACTTCATTCTACTTTTTCAGATTATTTTAACTGTTCAGAGCCCTTTGAAATTCCATATATATTTTAGTATCAGCTAATTTCTATTTTTATTTTTAAGCCTACTGGGATCTGGCTGATATTGCATTGAATCTTTGGATTAATTTGGGGAGAGTTGACATCTTAATGATATTGAGTCATCCAATCCATGAGGCTGGTGTATATCTTTCCATTTTTTCAGATCATCTTTCTCTCGACAGTGCTTTATAATTTTCAGTGTATAGGTCTTGCATCTTGTATACCTTTTGGTAAATTTATCCCAAAGTTTTTCATATTTGGATGCTATTGTAAATAGTATTATTCTTGTCACCTTCAAATCCCAAATAGTCATTGCTAGTATATAGATATAGGATTAATTTTTGCATATTGACTGGTATCTTGCAACCTTGTTAAACTCGCTCACTAATTCTAGCAATTTTTTTTGTAAGTTTCTTAGGACTTTTTACACATCTATGAATAAATAAAGACAGGTTTACTTCTTCCTTCCCAATCTGGATGCTTCTTATTTCTTTTTCTGGGACCTCCAGTACAATAGTGAACTATTAAGTTACATTTCAACAAAATTTAAAACTCTTGATCTTCAAGTGACACTGTTAAGTAAATAAAAAGCAAGAGACAGACCAGGGAAAAGTATTTTCAAAACATATAATCCAACAAGGGACTTCTACCCAGAACATAAAGAATGCTTAAAATGCAACACTAAAGTCTACTCAATTTTTTTAAATGGCCACAAAATTTGCATCTCGCCAAAAAAGATAAACAGATGGCAAATAAACATATGAATGATGCTCAACATTAGTCATCAGGGAAATGCAAATTAAAACTGTAATGAGATAACACCACAGACCCGCTGGAATGGCTAAAAATTAAATGTCAATATTAAGTGACGTCAAGAAGGTAGAGCAACTGGCACTCTCAGACAGTGTTCAAGATTGTAAAATAGTGCAACCACTTTGGAAAACAGTGTGTCAGTTCCTAAAAAAAGTAAAACGTGCACCTACCATATTAGGTGATCTCTGCACTACAAGGTATTTCCCAAGAGAAATGAAAGCACAGGTCTACACAACAACTTGAATATAAATGTTCACAGAAATCTTATTTGTAATGCCCAAAGGCGGGAAATCACCCAAATGTCCTTCAACAAAGGATTGGGTAAACAGATTGTGGTATATTCATGCACTGGAATACTACTTAGTTATAAAAAGGAACAGACTTGACGTGTGTATCAACATGGATGAATCTTCGCGTTGCTGAGTGAAGGGAGCTGGGCAAACACGCATACTGTCTGATTTCATTTATACGCACTTTGAGAGAATGTGAAGTACTCTCTAGTGGCAGAAAGCAAATCAGTGGTTGCCTGGGAGTGGGGGTCAGGAGAGAAGAATGTAAAAAGCATATGGGGAAACTTTTTAGGGTGATTAATGTTCGTTATCTCGATTGTGGCGTGACTTCGTGGGTGTACACTTATGTCACAATGCCTTATATTGTACATTTTTCATATGTGCAGTTTATTGTACCAATTTTACCCCAATAAAATATTTTTTAAGTAAGCGAGAAAGCATTTAGATGATGTAATTCACCTGCCTTCAAATCACTGACTTCTCAACACATTTTTCCAGAACTGTCCTGTGAGGTGGGCACCACAATTTGCCTCACTTAACAGAAGGGGAAGCAGGGGTAGGGAGGGGAGAAGACTTGTCCCCAAGTCACATAGGTCAGCTGACATCCACATTCAAGTGCTAGGTGCAGTCAGAGGCAGGCACATGACCCCAACCCACAGTGTCTGGGAGAGGAAGTCCAAGCAGGCTGATCCTGACAGTGCACTTGCCCATGTGTGCTGACCATAAAGCTCTCTGGGAAGGCTGGGCTCAAACTGCATTTCAAGCTATTTCATGCGTCTCTGCCTTTGCCCAGCAGCCCTTCCTCCCTGACCTCCCCAGCTCCCATTGTCCTTGGAGACCCATCACCTCCTGTAAGAGGTCTTCTCCGACCTGGACCTCCTCAAGTCTTGCTCTATTATGGTGTCTGACTGACGGAAGGAATGAATGCATGCATGCATGAATAGCACTTCTCCACTTTCATTCATTCATTCAACCATACGTATTTACCGAGTTTCTACTTTGTATCATGCATTGAGGATACAACCATTGGTCCTTGCCCCAAAGGGGCTCACACCTAGAAGGGGGACAGACTTCACGCAGACTAAAGGGGCATGTGACCTCATTGGCCGGTCTGGGAGGGGCTTCCCGAGGGCAGGGATCTAGGCTGCGGTGTTAGCCCTCTGAGGAGCAGAAGGAGAATGTTCTGGCTGAGGGCTGGGAAAAGGAAAGATGCTCAGCTTGGCTGGAGCTCAGAGCCCCAGTGGTAGGTAAAGAAGGACTGGGGGCATCTGCAAGAACCTGACACCAAAAATATTTTCCAGCCTAACAGAGCGAGGTGGGGAGAACACCCTGATGGAGGAGTAGGCGAGGCAGGATGGAGTGGGCAGAGTCTCTTGATTTGGGCAGATCTGGTGGCAAGGATCCCTCCGACACACGCAACCTTCCTCTGGGTGCCTCGTGATTCCTAGGCCGTCAGGTTTCTCTCCCGCTGCTGGAGGAAGGGGCAGGCACAGCTGGGTTCCTTCAGGCTCTGCCATGCAGGTGGCTTCTCACTGGTTTGTTTAGAGTTAGCCAGAAGAAAACCTGGGCCTTTTCAGATCCCCGACCTGTTCAGTCAGAAACAAAAGTAGCAAACATGGTAGCAAACAGGCCTTGACGTTTGGCGGACTTAGAAGGTAGTCTCATCCTTCCTCGCTGAGTGACCGTGGGCTGGTTATTTAACTTCTCTGAGCCTCAGTTTCCTCATCTGTAAAAATGGACAGGATAACACCTACTCACAACGTTGTGTGAGGAGGAAATGTGATGACGTGATGGTTGAAATAGTGAGGACCCCCACCCCACCCCACCAATTTACCAAAACAAGTTAAACTGGTAAAAATCTACCTGTTTGGGACTAGCCAGAAGTCCGGCCTTGATGCCCTGGGTCACCAGAAGGCCCGACTGGAAAGGGTGCAGTGCATCTCGGAAGTAGAACTGACCACCATGTCCTTGTCCTCTTTGGACTTACTTTGCAGTAAGTCATTTGTGGCTTATCAAGGGGGCATATCAAGGGGGTAATAAAGAGTGAGACAGCCCTAAGTGGGTAGCTCAGTTGGTTAGAGCATCATCCTAATACCCCAAGGTTGTGGGTTCAATCCCCGGACAGGGCACATACAGGAACCAACCAATGAATGCATAAAGAAGTGAAACATCAAATGAATGTTTCTGTCTCTCCCTTCCTCTCCCTATAAAAGCAATAAGTAAATTTTTAAAAGAAGACAAACCCAGATGTGAGTCCCAGACCTGAGACAAGCCACACGTCTGAGCCCCTTCTCAAAGGGTTGCTGCCCACAAAGCATAAAGAATGGACCATCTGGCCTCATAAATGTTAGCTGTCCAGTCCACAGGCCAAATGCACTCCCTCTGTGATCACAGTTGTTTGTCTGTGTCTGCCCTGCCTCTTCTACCAGACTGTGTCACATCCTCTCCCTGGGCCGTGGGGCCCTGCACGGGCAGACAGGAAGAAGCAGCGGGGGCTGTTGAACATAGAACCTGAACATTGAGAAGAAAGCCCCAGGCCAGCGTATGTGGGCCCCCAGGAAAGGGCACCCGGCAGAAAAGGGGCACCTATAAGCCATCAGCTTTCCAGAGTGGTGTCGCCAGGTCCAGCAGCAGGGGTCCCAGCTGGGTGAACTAACAGGAGAGTGACGCTGGAGAGAGAAACCAGCACAGCAGGTGAAGGAATGATGTGACCGCTCTGGCACTGTTAGAGCGGCTCCTCCCTCTAGGCAGTTCCCCTTTGGTTATCATTCCTCCCCAGTCCTCCTCCCGACTTCAGTTTAATCTTTTCAACCCGTGAAGTAGGGGTTACCATTATCCTGATTTTACAGAGAAAACTGAGGCTCAGAGAGTGAGTGACTTAGGCGTTTCCACCAGCCAGCTTCCCCCGGGCCAGGCCCCCTGGGCTGAAAACAACCCAGGCTCCACAGTCCCCCACGTGCTGGTGACGGGTCGCTTAGCAGCCGTGATGGGCGGGGTCAGGGCCACCCTTCCCGGCCACGCGGCAGGGTGCTGCTGGAGGATGACTGTCGGACCCCGTGGAGGCGAGACTCCGGCGATGGAGGCGGGAGGCTGCTGCTACCAGTTTCGGATCCTGCTGCTGGGGGACACGGCTGTGGGCAAGACGTCGCTGCTGCGGCGCTACGTGGGGGGCGCGCTCGGGACCCTGGCGCGGGCGCCGGAGGCAGAGCTCCAGTCCGAGCCCACGGTGGGCGTCGAGTTCTACAGCCGCCTACTGCAGCTGGGAGCCGGGCGGTGGGTCAAGCTGCAGCTCTGGGACACGGCGGGCCAGGAGCGTTTCAGGTGCGGGACGGGGCCGTGTGCTGTGGGTACGAAGTGGGTGGAGGAGGAAAGAGAAGGGGAGAAATGGGTAGGTGAGGAACCTCAGTTCGGGAATCAATGCCGGTCTCCCTGGCCGTGGAGATCCCTCCGAGGGGTCAGCCCCAGTGGCCCAAAAGTAGAGGTCTGGGTGTCCCTGCCCGGGGGTTGGGGTCCCTCCCTCTTGAGTCATTCACCTGACAAATACAGCTGGGTGGGCCAAGCCCCTGAGCCAGATGCTTGAGACCTGGTCGTCCCTCCCACCACAGAGGAACATTCAGGCCTTGGGGGCAAGGGAGAAAGACCCGACATTGAACCCTGGAGGCATGAGGGATGTGGGTGCTGGGGGAGCCCACAGGAGCACAGGGCGGGAGGTCAAGGAGATGGGAAAGGAGGAAAGATGTGTGTTGGCCTTGAACAAGGCACAGGAGCTTGCCAGACAGAGTGGGGAAGCAGACCTTCACACAGGAAAATACTAGGCCTCCCCCAGGAATGGAGGACTGGTCAGGAGAGCAGTACGTGAATCAAACTCCCTCCTTAACTGAGAAGCACCCGGTATCTAGGGAGAGAGACAGAACCCAGGAATGGAAGCACAAGGCAGTGTGAAATGAGCTATAACGGGCGGTGGGGAAGTAGGGGAGGTGTTCAGTGGATGCAGGGGAGGTTCTGCCTCTGGGGGTGTCCTGAAGACGTAAGCCTTTCAACTTACTCCCCAATCCCATCAGGTGCATCACCAGGTCTTTTTACCGGAATGTGGTGGGTGTCCTGCTGGTTTTTGATGTGACAAACAGGAAGTCCTTTGAACACATTCCACATTGGCACCAGGAGGTGGTGGCCACTCAGGGCCCCGACAAGGCAATCTTCCTGCTGGTTGGCCACAAGAGTGACCTACAGAACACCCGTTGTGTCTCAGCCCAGGAGGCAGAGGAGCTGGCTGCCTCCCTGGGCATGGCCTTCATGGAGACCTCAGCCAAAAATAACTGCAATGTGGACCTGGCCTTTGACACACTGGCTGACACCATCCAGCAAGCCCTGCAGCAGGGGAACATCAAGTTGGAGGAGGACTGGGGGGGCATTCGGCTCATCAAGAAGACTCAAACCCCTCGGCACCCCAGCAGGCAGCAACAGGCAGGCCCATGCCAGTGCTGACTCTGGAAGGGAAAGGGTTGAAGCAGTGCCAACCCCAGAAGGCTGGTGGGATGGAGAGAGTATCTCTCCAAAGGGCAAATGGCAGAGTATACCTTAAGCGTTCATATAAACAATATTCTGGCACAATCATGGCTCCTGGATTTTGATTTCGGGCTCAGCTGCTTCCCACTAGAAAGGTTCAGATGCCGGTGTGCAGCTTGCTGTTCTTGAGCCTGTTTCCTTGTAAAACACCCTACTTCAGGGGGGTGGGGGGGTGCATGAATGAGATAATGGGGGGATATGCTCAGCCAGGACCTGTCACATGCTGAGAACTGAATGACATGAACTGTCATCACCACCTTCTCTTGGCTATGTGGCCATTTCCAGCAGTGTTCCTGGGCTGGGACGCTGAGACGCTGAGTCTATGCACCGCTGCACAGGTGAGAACGGCTGTGGGGAATTTCAGGGGGAGCCCGGCTCCTTAGATGCTGTCTTGGTTGGATGAGTCTGAGTGTGAGATTTAGGTGTGGTTGTTGCTGCCCAGCACCTCTGGTCTGGATTTGGATCTGGGAGGCAGGACTGAAGAGTTTATAGCCTCCTCTTCACCACGCTTCCCACCCCACATCCCCCAGCTGCTGGGAGTGCTATGGGATGAGGAGCCTCGCTCCCTGGGAACGCCCGACCCCTCAGGTGCAGCCCACATCCAATGTCAATCTAATGGGAGAAGAGTAATCAAAGGCCTGGCCTTCTTCTCCCAACTATGGACAAGTCTGAAGTTCAAACCCCTGCTTTATCATTCATTATGGGGTCCACTGAAGCCACTGCTGTTACATCACAGATAAACCCTCCCTCCCTCCCTCTGCTCAATCCTGCTTCCTTCCTTTCCTCCCCCAACCAGGTATTGATCTCAATAATGCCTTAATACAGTTGGCCCTTGAACAGCATGGTTTTGACCCATTTGAACTGTGCAAGTCCACTTATACCTGGATTTTTCCAATGACCCACACAGTTCAAATCCCTGTTATTCAAGGGTGAACTGCATGGTGGGGAATCCCTGTGTATGTATGTGTGGGGAGCCTCTACTGCCCAGGTCAGCACCTCTAACCCCGGAGTTGTTCACAGTCAACTGCAAATGCCTTCTGGGGAACCTAATTTGCAACAGAAACTCCTCAACAGGGAATGTCCTGGCTCAATCAAAGGCTTGCGGGAGGAGATGGTGCTTATGTAGGGAAGAATCTCAGTAGGTGTAGAGCAGGTGTCTTGAAGATGTCATTGTGCCAGTGGGCATGGGAAGAGCATGGGCAGATGCCACAGCAAAAGGAGCACGACTACTTGATACTTTGTGACCTGGAGCCAGTCACTCTACCCCTTTGGGCATCGGATTCTTTCTCAGTAACAGGTGCTGACAATCCCCCCATCCTAGGGTTTCTGCGAAGTTTTCAATCAGGGTGAGTTTTTTAGCTTCCTCCCCACAGCAGCTGGGACAGTTGGGGTCTCCCTATGCACTGCCTTCTCCTGTCTCCTCTTTTAAAAAAGTCTTCGCTCATCGTTATGACAACCATACAAGATTGGCATGATTATTCCCATTTCACAGACAGGAAAGTTTGGGCCAGGAGAGGGAATTGTTTGCTTTATGACATATTATTATTCCTTCATCAGATTACTTAAACATGAGCCAGTGCTCTGTTCTGGGCTCTGGGGTTACAGAATTGCCCTCCTGGGGCTGACATGCTAGTGGAAGAGGGAGAAAAAAACGAATAAATAAGTGAAGCAAACTACTAGTTGTGGTAAGTGCTATAAAGACCACAGATAAGCCCTGGCTGGTGGGACTCGGATTGAGCGCCCACCTGTGAACTGAAAGTTTGCTGGTTTGATTCTTGGTCAGGGTACATGCCTGGGTTGCAGGCCAGGTCCCCAGCTGGGGTGTGCAAGAGGCAACCAGTTGATGTGTCTCTCACACATTGATGTTTCTCTCCCTTTCTTTCTCCCTCCCTCCTCTCTTTCTAAAAATAAATAAATAAAATCTTTGAAGACCACAGATAAGGGAGATGGCACTGAGAGTGACAGGGGTCCTTTGGAGCAGGTAGGTGAGGAGGGCCTCACTGAGATGACTTTTGAGCTGGGACCTGGAGAAGGAGTCAAGCTAAAAGCAGGCAGAAGGAACAGCTCTTAGCACTGACTGAGCTCTTATGTACTGTATAAGGCAGGTACTTTAATTTTACATTTTACTGATATGGGGACTGAGGCCCAGAGAGGTTACGAAGCCAGTAAATATCAATGGGAGAGAGAAACATTAAAGAGAGAGAGAAGCATCAATTGATCGCCTCCCAGACCAGGGTTTGTACATGCCCAGACCAGGGAACCAGCCAGCAACCCAGGTATGTGCCCTGACCAGGAACTGAACCTACAACTTGGTCACAGGGACAATGGATGTTCCAACCACTGAGCCACACTGGCAAAGGCTCTTGTTACTTTTTGGGTAAAGCCCCCTCGTTTGAGGGGCCAAGACACTGCACCACTTGGCCTGAGTCTCCTCACCACACTGCCTCGGGGCTGGCACACATGCCGTTCTTGCTCCTTGAAAGAGATCCCCACCCCTTCACTTCATAGTCCTTCCAACTATGGCCCAGCTGGCCAGACCCTCTCCCCAGAGGTGCTGCGAACCTCTCCTTCGCAGCCAGCCCGTCAGGGTAGCAGTTTTATGTTTATCCAATCATAGGATTGCCCCGTTATTTTTTAATTATTTGATTTGAGAGAGATCTCTGGGAGAGAAAGAGATGATTTGTTGTTCCACTTATTTATGCATTCATTGGTTGACTCTTGCATGTGCCCTGACCGGGACTGAACCCGCAACCTTGGCATAACAGGACAGCGCTCCAACCAACTGAGCTGCCTGGCCAGGGCTTGCTCCCTGTGTTTGTGTTCATCGTGAGGACCCGCTGGCGGGCCCAGGTCCAGCTCAAAAATTCTTGCTGAATGATCACGTCTCTTCCATCTGCAGATAGGATGGGACTCAGAAGCTATTTACATGTCACACAGCCGATCAAGAATTGATGTCTTGACTCTACCCTAGCTTTTCCCATTAAACGGCTCGAATTCCCTCACCCCCTTCTGTTCTCAGTGGAGGATTCCAAACTAATTCTGGATTTCTTCTTGGCTGCTGAGGTCAGTGACCGGCGCCTACTATGAGAACCTGGCAGGAGGCCTTCTGTTATTTGATATCACCAACAGAACAGCTTTTGAGAGCAGCACCCGGTGCCATCAGGAGGTTCTGGAGAAAGTGAAACCCTCCAACATCTTCCTGGTGGTAGGCCACAAGAGTGACCTGGTGGTTGAGTGACAGGCGATGCTGGAGGAAGGGGACAAGCTGGCTGCCTCTTCTTTGGGTGCTATGTTGAGACCTCAGCCAAAAGCAACAGTAACATCAGCACATCTTTTGAGCTGCCCACTCAAGGGATCTATGAGGCTGTGAAGAGAGGAGTCATGGGGCCAAACTGAGTGGGAGGCAGTGAAAAGCAGGGCCCCACCGCAGGCCAACCTCAGGAGACAGAGAAGCAAGGCAGGGAAAGGTGGATGTGCTGGTGACCCCTGGGTGGAACAGCTATGCCCCCTGAAGCCCGTGGAGCCTTCATGATCCACAAGGGCTATGCTGGGCACAGGACAGAAAGAAGCTAGGTGCCACTGAAGGTCATGACCCTGAGGCCTCAGGGGGCTTGGCTTCCTCTGCAGGATGGTGAAAATACCAGGGTCAGAGATACCAGCAACTAAGAGCAGACAGGCTTTCCTCAAGGCTACTGCCATCCCTTCTTCGGGCCCAGGATGAGCACAGCTTTCTCTAGGAATTCCGGAAGCGCAGGTCAGTGAAGGCTTTGTCAAAACCAGGATGCCTCTTCAGTTTGGGCTCACGAGAGAAGGTCACTCGACCCAATTCTATGGCAGAGAAAGTGCACTCAAACTTCTACGGAAGGTACAGCCTTCCTTGGAGTAAAGTCTTGGAAAATCCCCGGGTCTTTTCTTAGGCAGAGAAGCGAGTAACATTGCTGCCACCTGCTGACTAGGGGGCTGTGTCCAGCCTCGCTGCTGCTCCCAACTCCCTCTGGGATTTCAAAGGCTGTAGGCCATGCACCCTGTGTCTTTCCATTAATAACTTCTTTATTCTGGAAAAGCAAATGAAAGTCATATTCATATAAACACTGACATTACAAAGTACAGGGAAAAAGGGAAGGGAGAAGGAAACAGAAACCTCTACAAATCCTGCTAATACTGTCTCACCAAACAAGACCATACCGCTTTGTCCCATATTCAATCACTTATATAATAAACCACAAATAAAATCTTCTCTGGAAGATACATTGCTCCTCTTTGAGACGGCAGGGAAAAGGGGCCAAAGTGAGGGAAGGAGGCTTTATTCTTTTGGCAGATCCTCTCAGTCATTATAGATATTGCTGCACTGTTAATAAAAAATATATGCTTCTCTGTAAAGCATTAAAAAAAAAATCCAAGGATGAGATGGCTGAGGTCTCAGCTCAAGTATCTCCAAATACATTGTTGTCCATTCCCTGACCTTTCCATGTGTTATTTCTTGGTTGTCTTCCGGATCAGTGCCATTCTCTGAAAGGAGAGAGAAATAAGCAACACACAGGTTAGGGTCAGGAACTTTCTGGAACATCCCGCATAGCCAGCAGGCAGCCTGGCGTGGTCTACGTCACAGGCTGAGACCTGTGGAACCAACGGGCACAGGCCAGCTCAGCAGGCTCCGTCTAACCCGAGGACAGTCTGCAGGGCTGCAGCAATGCTTACTCAGGACAGCAATGCTTACCCAGGACACCAAAGGACAAACTGCTCTAGGCTAGCAGGATGGCAGAAAAGTTAAAAGCAGGTGACACATAAGATTATTTAGCACATCGATGTGCAAGGTGTCTATTTCTAGGTCTGATTCTCAAGGTTTGCCTTCTTTTACTTCCTTAGATTGCTACTGGCTCATAAGTAGTTTAGTCCTACTTGGACAAAGGGAATGAAAATATGTTCCTTTTACTAACAAATTGCAGCTGCGGAAAGATTTTCCTTCGAAAGCATATCAAGGAAATTAGTATTTTTAAATGTCTTGATTAAATAAACCATTCTATGAATCTGATC